GCCCCAGCTCAGGCCTAACCCCTCACCGGGGCCTTCATCCCTTTAACCTCCAGAAACGGTCTCCCCCACCCGACCCCGTCTTCCTGGGACACTTAGGTAAATAGCCCTGCAGTAAACTTGGGGCGGGCACTTAGGTGTCAGTTAGGGTTTTGAACTGTTGAGTAAATCCCCACAAATGGGGTAACTGCACTGTACAGAACTCCAACTGATTTGTAGCTTTGTGCGCAATCTCCGCATTTTTCCACAATGGTTGCACCAACTTACACTTCCACCAAGCATGTAGGGCCCTTCTTTGCACGTCTTCACGTTTCTCGTCCTGAGTAACAGCCCTTCTCATGAACGACTGTGAGGCGGTAGTTCAGCGGCTTTATTTTCCTGCTAAGAGTTGAGCGATTCTATCCCCATGCCCCTGCCACCTGCATCTGAGCGTCTACTGGCCCTCTGCCTGCTGGTGGGTCTCTCTTGCTGAGCTCTGGGTGCCGCACATGCCGGATGTGACCCCTCGCCAGCTGGGCAAAGTGCTGGGATTCCTCCTCGTGATACGGTTTACTGCGTTTGATGTGGCTCCATGTATTTTTTTCCTTGCCACAGGAGTTGTGCCTCCAATTTATTATTTTAGAACTGTCTTGAATTTTCTGTTATTTGTCTTGCCTACCTTACCAAGGCCCTCGGTGCTCAGTGTTAGACACCTGGGAATGTGATCAGTGTCCAGTGCAGGACCGGCTTACTGTACACAGACTGTGTTCAAATACCTCTGCGAAAATCCTGGGCAAGTGCGTCAATGTCATTCCTACGGTAACTAACTCCCTGACCACCAGGGTGGCCGTGGGCGCCGGGACTGGGAGTGAGCAAACCGCACTCGAGAGCTGTCCTCGGGGTTGATGTTCTAACTGGCGTCTGTCAGCAAAGCTGAAGCAGCAGAGTCCATGCAGTGGGGTTGGGGGGGCAGGGAGGGGCAGACCACTTGGGGGGGCGGAAGCAGGCTGGTGTAGCCCGAGGCTGGGCCGCAGGCCCGCAAGCAAGCTGGAGCACGGGCCTCTCCATCCTGAAGTGCGAGCAGGCCAAGCTCCCCCAAGGGCTCAGGGGTGGGGTGGTGGTTCCTGGCCCTGTGGGGGTCTGGGCACCTGCAGCCCGGCCTAGGCCTGTCCTTAAGGACACTTCTCAGAGTGGCCTCGGCACAGAAACTAACTTCTGAGTATTTCTGTGGCAGGCTCCACCCTAAACACCTAAGTTGCATTTCTGCACTTTAACCTTCCACAACCCCTCGAGACAAATGACTATTATTACCGCCCACCCTGCAAACGAGGGGCAGAGGGAAGTCTCTTGCTCCGGTCAAAGCCAGGAAGTAAAGCACCACAAACTCGCTGACAGCACAGCCTGTCTCCGGCCGCGCCGCAGTCCCGGCTACCTCCCAGCTGTCCACCGGCCCAAGCAGGGCTCTGGGCTGCCCAGAGCAGGAACAGCCCACCCCAAGGCATCGGGTCTGGATTTCTGTCTTGGGGGACGTGGACACACTAGCAGTCAGCGGTGGGGCCACCTGTGCGTTTGCTTTTAACCCTGTAATGACCTTGACATTCAGCCATGCTCAGACCAGGGCGTGCCCTCACCCACAAGCTGGCAACTCAGGACACAGCCCAAGGTGGGGACACAAGAGGATTCACTTACACAGGAAGAAAGGGGGGACTGGGGTGGGGCCAATACACGTGCACAAATGGCCTGGTCCTCCTGCCCTACCAACTGCCACTGTGCAGACAGAGGCCCAGCCCCAGGCCAGCCCAGACTGCTCTCCACTCCCCTCCTCCCCGAGTTGGTTACCGGTTGAACCCGCTCGGCCTTTTCATCCCTCCAAGCCCTGCCCAGGGGTGGGGTCTGGAGAGCCCCAACTTCTCCCTCACGTGGGCACAGGGCTCTGTTCCCCGGGGAGCCACGTGTCCCCGGGCAGCCAGGAAACACCTGCAGGGCCCGCCCAGCGCCC